TTAATCACTCATTATATTTGTTTAAGGTTCGTGTATTAAGAGAATTCCGATTAAATCGAAATTCAGTGTATTATAATTAGAGCATTAGGAACATAAGATTATATTGAAAGTGAGAAAATTCTACTCTACTTATAATAAATTATTGTTACACTTTTTAATTATCATGTTAATGAATATTGTCGAGCCAATTACCAATAGTAATTGGCCTTGTGATCAGCTCTTTCGAACAAGGCTTGGATAGTCTTAATCTCTACTCCTACGCAAATCGCTCATACAGTTGTGACTTTATGACTGACCTTTTCTATACTCACAATTCTCAAATAATCGGTCTGTATAATTTTAATCTGGAATACGAATTAACCTCGAGTTCCCACGTCTATTTCTATCGTGGAATAATTCCGATAGCCTATCGCTGAAGGTAATTTATTTGTTATACTACACTAAACGCGTTTATAGACAATTAATTAACCCTCGTATTTGCCAACCGGAATAATTGATGGACAAGATCGAGAGATTAACGGTTCCTATACCAATACGATTTCCAGAGAACCTGAATTAAATTATTCTAATGATAAATTAATTTATTAGAGTATTGAAGAGCGACCTAAGATTTGAACCAAATCATCGAAATATCATAAATATCGGACGAATAAATGGAGGAATCTGACATGAAAAAAAAAGTCCGGCATTAACGTCCAGATTACCGAAAATCCGAATTAACATTATAGAGCCAGTTGACTGTGGTTATATATGATAACGGCAAGTCATTGACAAAAACAAAGTTAGGCACGTTACAGCTCATACAAACCATGATTAAACCGAGAGAGTACAACAGGCAAACCAGAATTTGTCTTGCATTGGCATTTTAGAACTTTCTTATGTGGATTTCCACTGCCATTCTTTTCGCTGGGAACTGTACCACTTGCAGTGTTAAAATATCAAATAAACGTAATATTGAACCATTCTTTTTTGTCTGAGCTGACATTACAACGTTTACTTAATCTATTAGCTCTAGCTTCTTATCCGGCCGGCTTACTTCAGCTTAGTAAAAAGCCCGTCATTCAGCAACAACGACGAACACTTCTTAGCCAAAGAATGCAATTCGACGTGATAGATTTAATTTTCATTACTGATTGTAATATTTTATTATGAATGTTAATTAGCTAAGTGTATTTGTGTTTCCGAGCGCATAGCCAGGTTCATTCAGTCGTCCTTAATATATGTATTGGACAATGAAGACGAGAAAATTGTCTTGCAGAGCACCTACAGATTATTATGTGACAAATGTTGAATGTTATATTTCATACAAGTTTGAAGACATTGAAAGTCAAAAAAGTGTTTCTATAGTGTAAAAGTAGCGAGTAAAATAATCACTATTTGTAAAACTTTACCCTTTGAAATTTTCTAGGTCAACCGTTTTTGCGACATAGAGTTTTCTAATAATGAATAATTGTCAAGTAGTTTGACAATTGGAGCAATGGAACTTTAATTTCTTTTACAGAGTGTTAAGTTATGTATATTTACATTTGGGCAACTCTTGTACATATTACTGTATAGTAAGCTGACGTTAAACGCAGACTTCCTGGCTTCAGCATATGTTCCTATAATCGCTTGATTCTTGAGTGGATTTTTAATAGTGTATAAAAACAGGTTTCAGTGAAGTAAACGCACTACTAGTTTGGATGCAACAATTAGGTTTCCGACGCAACAATTGAAAATGAATGGACAATAGTGTTCTAAACATCATTTACCTATAAATTATTATAGTATTGATATTCCTCTTTTTCAACATCCTTGATTTGCAAATAAATCTTTTTACTTCATGGACGAGCAGTCAATCGTCGGGGATTACTTCTCATCAAGTCACGACAATGTGATTTGCGACAAATGGTTGCATTCAACTGGCCATATCATTAAGCAAGTTGATAACTACTAGCAGGATATTGTCCTGTTGGAATCGACCCGATTTGAAGCAAAGAAAAAAAGATTTCGCATCCATGAAAATGCTCAAGTCGGACAGTTCTGATATGGTTTTTCTCACTGGTATGCAGAAGCTTGTAATGAATCTTTGATAAACAGCAACCCAAGTAAGTCGGCGGGCAAGAGAATTTTCTTATGCGAGGTGACTATCTGTAAACGTTCTTGCGCGAGCTGTCTACAGCATAAATAGCGCATTGTGACAACTCGTATTAATACACAGCGTCCTAAACTATATATAGTTCGAGGGACACTAACAAAAGGGTGTCGAATAAATACGTATTTTTTCCCAAGCTTAACGGCAAACAGAATGCGTGATACGATGTCTGAAAATACAGTATAGCTTCCTATTGTAAATTTATATAACAAATGAACGAACCCAATGTCTTCAAGTACCAATTTAGCCAAAAGTTCTTGGACAAGGAATCATTACCCCCATAATCTCTCAATTTGGACATCTGGACTCCAGTGAATGGACAATGAACATTGAACGGGTCCTTTGTAAAATCTAAATGTTCTCATCATAAACATGAGCATTAATATTAATATTGACATTAATATTAATTAATATTTATTGTTAACTCGCTTTGTCACGTGATCACACCTTTATATACCAGATGCGATTCGCATACAACGTTAAACACTCCTTGCTTCCTTCTGCTCGAGATGTCACAGTCACATTCGCATTTTCTTGACAACAATGCTATTACGAAACAGAGCTTAAGGGCTTGGTGGAAGCACTTTACAGCAAAAACTGCAAAGAAGGGGCCTGATGATAAAGGGAAAGGAACGTATGGTGAGTAGTCACAGAAATAATACTTACGACCTTTAGTGTTCGATCTACAGACTGAGAACCCTCCGACTTCGAATGGCGACCGTATGGCTCATAGCCAGAATGGAGCTATTTTAAGGGCTTCGAGGTGTTCATTTCTGGATTTGTGGAATTGTAGTATATACACTAGAAAGCCCCTGCTCTTTATTTGGGGTAACAGTTGTTTAACGAGATAGGGAAACATTTGCAATAAGTACTTTATTTATTGTAAACCTATAGGACCACAGTCGATATTCGGAACAGATCTGATGAGTGCCATAGAATACGCAAGCGTTCCAATATGTATGGCTGGTGCTGATGGGCGACAATATGTTTATGGGTATATCCCTACTATAGTTGCTAAATGCGGGATGTATTTAAAGGAGAAAGGTATTGTTACGTATTCCACTCTTAACAATATTTTGTGTGAGGTAAAAATAAATGAGAGTATAATATATGCCATTGGAGATACATATCGATATGTTTACAAGTATGTTAACTCTCAATTATTCCAGCTACACCAACCGAAGGTATATTTAGACTTAGCGGATCTGCGAAGAGAATAAAAGAATTGCAGGCAATCTTTGATTCGCCTCCCTCCTATGGCAAGACATTGACCTGGTTGGGATATTCGGTCCACGATGCCGCTAATGTTTTAAGAAGATATTTGAACAACCTACCTGACCCAGTAATACCACACCAATGGTACGAACCGTTTAGACGCGTTTTAGGTAAAATTTATATATGTGTCTGTCGCTTATTTATTTGTCAATATTTTCATTTGAACTCAAATCTTCTCCTCGTTCTTTTTCAAGTTAATTATCCAGACGCACACAGAAGAGTGCTGGCATATCAGAAACTGATTGCAAAAATTCCGAAAGAGAATCAGAACCTATTGCTCTATATTCTTGATCTTCTTGCAGTATTTTCATCAAAGGCGGATCAAAATCTGATGCCATCGAAGAACCTGGCTTCCATATTCCAACCGGGTATTCTTTCTCACCCCGACCATGACATGGCTCCTGAGCAGTACAAACTATCGCAAGAAGTCGTAGAATTTTTGATAGATTATCAAAGTTATTTCTTGATAAACGTTCCATTTACCAACAGCAACACATCCGCTCCGCAAGCACAACCTTCTGCTTCAGCAATAGCATCAACATCAAGCGAAGTGCCACCGCCGCCGCCACCAAGACCAGTTAATTATGAGGGTAACACTCAATCATTAATAGAACCCCCCGATTTAAATAATCCACGACCTCCACCTACTCTGTTAACTCGTCGCCCATCCCTCAATGGGGTTCGAAGTACGACTGGTGACTCTATATTGGAAAGTCTTCATGATTCACCAAGTCGTTCAAAGTCTCTCGGAAGAAGTCATACATTACCTAGTAACATTAAAAAACTTCGAAGAGCGAGACGAGATGAAGACTCAAATGCGAATGATGAAATTGCAAGCGGTAATGACAATTCTAGTACGGGTTATTCTTGGGTTTAATTTTTTCTTTACAATGTTATTGTGGTCATCGAATTGTTGAATTACCCGTATATACCCCTGATACTGTTGATTATGGAAGAAATTTTATTTAATTAGATATGGTAGATTTTTTAATATGATAATTGAACAACATTGTTTTATTGGGAATATACGCGTAAGTTTCATAATGCATTACAATAATCAATATTAACTATATATTTCCTTTTTTTACCTATTTATATATATATTTGCCATTATATGCCTCGCGATGATTCGATGTCGGGAATTTGTACAATTTGTCAATAAAACTATCTAACATCTGGTATGCATTGTCACTTTACATGACCGAAATGTGATTCTCGTTGTTACATTGTTCAATATCACTTTGTCCTATTGGTTCTCGTCATCCAGATTTGAAGCGAAAAGTTAGGAAAGTAAAACAAATAGATCCAACGAAAGTAAAGCCATCGACGCAGGAACGGTCATCATTAAGTAGTCCACCAAACAGTCTAAATTGGCCCAACCCAGAAAAAT